TTCAAATTCAGACACAGCTGTTAAGTACCGCCATTTGTTTGCGTTATAATATCTGGAGAAAGATATAACAATAGGTTACTTCATTCAGAAGCAAGTGCTGAACAGTTTTGAATAACTAATCCCTGGAAATGAGAGCTCCTGTCCAGGTCACTGTAGTTCAACCGCATCATGCCTTAGGCAACAAATCCAGAGACTACTAAAAAAAAGAAAAGAGTCAGGTGCCTGTGGCTCATGCCTAGCTACTCAGGAGGCTGAGATCTGAAGACTGCAGTTCAAAGCCAGCCCAGACAGGAAAGGCTGTGAGACTCTCATCTCCAATAAATAACCAGAAAACTGGAAGTGGCACTGTGGCTCAAGTGGTAGAGCGCTAGCCATGAGCTGAAGAGCCCAGGGACAGCACTCAGGCCCACAGTTCCAAGCCCCATGACCACCACCACCACCAACAACAAAAAGGATTACCTGGCTCACCCTTTATTGAACACATGAAGATTTTATATTTGTATATATATACATATGTATACATATAATATACATAATATATAATATACATATATATGTATACATATGTATATTTATATATACATATATACATTTTTTTAAAAAAAACAACCCTGAATCTTGGTTACACTTCATGCCAACTGGATCAGAATCTTTGAGAGAGGGGTCCAAGTACTAGACAACCAAGACAGTGTGGGGTGCACACTCTATCTTTGATCTTCTAGGATCTGTGGACATTAGCATCACTTAGAATATTGTTAGGAATGTAGAATGTCTCATTCTAAATCTAATTATCAAAATCTCCATCTGAACATGATCTTCAAATGATTCATAAATACACCAGGACGTTTTGCCTCTCTTACTCTCTAGTCTTTTCTAAGTTCAGACACCATTTATTTATTAAAGGCTTTGTCCGTATCAGTGCTGGGTAATTTCCCAAGTGGGTGCCATCAGTTCATTCAACTATTTAGACTTCACATTCCCTTTAACTTCTCAATGTCCATATGTACAGCCTTTATTTTGCCACCATATTATAGCATGCTAATTTCCAACTTGATAATACTAAGGACTTATAAATCTCCTAATCATCCTTCTTTGCACTACCCTGCTCAGTTAGTGACGAAGGTTTGTAAACTATAGGACATACATGCATATATGTGTGTGATTATATATTAAATATGTTACATATATTTTAGACTTTAGTTTAGACTTGTTCTCAAACTTCAGAACTCCTGAATCAGATTGCTGAGGCAATGTCCTGGTAATTTTCATTATAAATTCCTCAGGTGGTGTGAATACCACTCTGTGAGATACTCTATCCCATGTGTGCATTTCTCAATTTTGTTCATACAGACTTTTTCAAAGCTCACACCTAGCCTTTCTACTTTCAGTTCTTTTCTTTTCAAATCACCTCCACACTTCTTGCCACAGTGACCAAATAAAAAAAGAAAATTTTACCAGAATAAAATGAAAAGTTAACATGTCATAGGAGGTTCTCCAATCATCTGCTCCCAATTACTACTTGACTCAGTAGCACCTATTGTACTACTCCAATCTCCATTCGAGCCCAATATTCTTTAGCTGAGATGTCTTTAAGCCATTGCAGCTTTGTTGTTGATTGTTTTGATGTTTCTACCCTCATAGCTGACATTCTACCACTTGAGCCATGCCTCCAGCCTAGTACTCTGGCTGGTTAAATGGATATAGAACTTTCAGATACATGTTGGCTTTGAATCACAATTGTTGGATCTCTGTCTCAAGAGTAACTAGGGGGGCTGGGAAGTTGGCCCAGTGGTAGAGCGCTTGCCTTGCATGCCTGAGGCCCTGGGTTCAATTCCTCAGAACCACGTAAGCAAAAAGAAAAAAGCCGGAAGTGGCGCTGTGGCTCAAGTGGTAGAGCGCTAGCCTTGAGCTGAAGAGCTGAGGGACAGCACCCAGGCCCAGAGTTCAGGCCCCACAACCGGACCAAAAAAAAAAAGAGTAACTAGGATCACAGGTTTGAGCCCATGGCACCCAGCTAGCCACAGTGGTTTTAAGTTGACTCCTCTTCCTAGAAAGTCTATCCCAAAGATGTCCCTGTGGGCCTGAGATGATCTTCCAGAAGATGCCCACATTCACTGTGAATGCCAACAGATTCCTGCATATATCGCTGTTAAAGCCCTTTGGACCTTTTTTATCTATCTGACTACCTTAAGAAAGTATAAACATTCTGAAGAGGGTAGCTATGTCATTATCTTAATATTACCAACAACTATTTGCATGTGACAGCCGCTTAATAATTTTTTACTGGATAAATCACTTGTGCTAATTTTCCTTGAATTAGCTTGAGGCCAGTTATTAAAAATCAGCCTACTGCACAGGGTCTTAGACCATCAAAGTGAGCTTCACCTTATAACTCTGATTAGATTACTGCCAAACTAGCTAAAACATTAAATGCCAGGACTAAAAATAGGCTGTTGTATATTTAAAACAACATGATCACAAGTTAGCTTGGGTCTTGGCTATTTTTACTAAAGGAAGGCAGAGACAAGTGGCCAGCAGTTGAAAGGGAATTACTTAGGTGAGGCTACTGTTAGGGTGAGAGCCTAGAAAGAAGCCAGGAGGTGGCAGCATTAGCTCAACATTCAAAAAAACACTGGGAACCCCCCCCCCCACTCCCCTCCCACTACATTTTGATTTAGATTTGTTGCACACTGAAACCCAGAATTTTGGCAACATCTGATATCATAAACTAATCAGACAGATCAAATTAGGGGTTTTATATTTTGACTTGTGAACATTGTGTGTGTGTGTGTGTGTTGTGTGTGTGTATGTGTGTGTGTGTGTGTGTGTGCGTGCGTGCGCGTGCTCAAGGTTAGTGCTAACACTTGAACCACAGCTTCATTTATCCATTTTATTCTGCTTAATCAGAGATAAGAGTATCACAGATTTTTCTGCTCTGTCTGGCTTTGAATCATAATCCTCAAACCTCAGCCTCCTAATTTGCTAGGATTATAGGTGTAAGACTCTGACACTTGTCTCTTGTTAACATTCTAACACATCATACACACACACACATATCAGATGTTCTGCTAGTTGCATTAAATGGCCCATCAGACCCACTAGTGTTTGAAGAGTCAGTGACAGAGATGTTATTTTGAACCTTTGACATGTCCCTTATAGGTGAATCACAATATGGACTCAGGATTCTGGAATAAAGCTGTCATTCTCAGAGGATAAATAATCTTTTCTAAAAATATCATCGGGCCTATTACTAGCCTTAATCGGCTAACCAATATGATAGTTAGTGGTGTATATAAGAATGGACTTGAACATGTACTGCCAGCACAAACAAACTATATGAAGAAATAGCCTGAGCCAGGCACTGGTAACTCATGTCTTTAATCCTAGCTACTGAGGAGGCTGAGATCTGAGGATCATGATTCAAAGCCAACCTGGGCAGGAAATCTGTGAGACTCTTATCTAATTAACTACCAAAAAACGAAGTGGTGCTATGGCACCCAAAACTGACTAAAAAAAAAAAAAGCCTAAATGTCACAGACACCATTTTATCTAGACTACTATCTCTCAGCCTGCACTTATGATGAAATGGAGAATTCTTTACAATCAGTAGAGAAAAATATGGAAGAGAAAGCTCAGGTTTGGTTTACATATTGTTCTGACACATCCCTGAAGGAGACTGATGAAAAGAAATCCTTCAGGTGAGAGCTTTGAGTAGTGTACCTGTTTGCTTTATTGGAAAGAGAAATGGCCAACTGTTGGATTATATTGATTCACAGATGGTATAGCCAAAAGTTTCAGCAGATAGGATGAAAAAACAGAAGAAAGGTAAAATGACCCTAATGCAATTAAGTGTCAAATGAAGAGTACTGAGTTAAGTATTCTAGGAACTTATTTAAGAAGAGGTCTCTGTGGACATAAAGAGTGTTCAGGGCAGACAAGATGGAGGAAATGAGAACATAAGATAAGAGTAGCTTGGAGACATCAAAGTTATATAAAAATCTCAATCTCAGTTTTACTGGTTGCTTCCTCATAAAAGGTTTCAAAGCTCCACTGAAGAATCAGATTGGGGCTGGGAAGGTGGCTCAGTGGTAGAGCGCTTGCCTTGCATGCCTGAGGCCCTGGGTTCGATTCCTCAGCACCACATAAGCAGAAAAAAATAATCCAGAAGTGGCGCTGTGGCTCAAGTGGTAGAGTGCTAGCCTTGAGCTGAAGAGCTGAGGGACAGCGCCCAGGCCCAGAATTCAGGCCCCATGACTGGACCCCCCCAAAAAAAATACACAAGAAAAGCACATTATTTTGAATTTAGAAGCTTTGAAAGAGTGAACTTCTTTCCACTACCTAGTAGGTGTTAGATAAACTGTGGAGCTCTTTAGCCTTAGTATTAATATATAAAATGGAGATGAAAGTACACATCCTATCTATTATGAAAAAGTAAATAGGATAAGGGCTAGGCACAGTGGCTCTATACCTGTAATTCCAGCTACTTACCAAGACCCTATCTCAATTAGTAAGCCAACAGGTAGGCTGGAGCATGTCTCTTGTCCTAGCTACACATGAAACCCAAACTGAAAAATAACTAAAGCAGAAAAGGGCTGGTGACCCAGGCCCAGAGTGCAAGCCCCACGACCGACAAAGAAAGAAAGAAAGCCTTGGGTTTGATTCCTCAGCACCACATAAGCAAAAAGAAAAAAGCCGAAGTGGCGCTGTGGCTCAAGTGGTAGAGCGCTCGCCTTGAGCTGAAGAGCTGAGGGACAGTGCCCAGGCCCAGAGTTCAGGCCCCATGACCGGACCCCCCAAAAAAAAAAAGAAAAGAAAAGGAAAGAAAAAAAGGGCTGGTGACATTGGCTCAGATGATAGAGTACCTGATGAGATGTTTACAACTTTATCATCATTTCTATTTTGTGCAAGAACTCAAAATGTAATTTATAAACCAAATTTTCTGTTTAGACCAGGATTCACAATGGAAAAAATACACATAATCCAAAGAATAAGCTCTGTATTCATGCTACTATACCTTGAGGAACATCCTTAGGAGGGGAATATTTCTTCTTCTTTATAATAACATCTTTATTTTTAATTTGTCTAGTTCCAGGTGATGCCCTAATAATGTAACAAATTTCTGGTTCATCTAAAGGAAACTGAAAAAAAAAAGAAAAGAAAAGCAGTGATTGAATTAACTCAGGGCTATGTTTTTATTCTATTTTGTTTCCAATGTGAAGTCTTAATAACCACATGTCATAGATATTAATAGTTGAGTGTTTATTAAATGCTTACTCCATTCCAGACACTAGCTGGCATGGGTTCACCCGATTTAATATGGGTTCTGCATTCAATAGAGAATGACTATAAAATACATGCTATACTGTAGGTTGGAATTGGGTTCTGATACTTTCCTGAGATAAATAATATTACAAGTGTTTGTGTGTTTATGGGTGCCTTTGTGTATGTAGATTCATTCAGTTTGAAATCTGATACTGTCCATGCTCACTTCAATATGAAAGATTTCTTGTGTGTATGCACATGCATGCATGGGCGTGTCTAATTTATAATGCCCTGCTTTCTTTTCTTTTCTTTTCTTTTTTTTTGATGTGGTCCTGAGGCCTGAACTCTGGGCCTGGGCGCTGTCCCTCAGCTCTTCAGCTCAAGGCTAGCACTCTACCACTTGAGCCACAGCGCCACTTCTGGCTTTTTTCTTTTTGCTTATGTGGTGCTGAGGAATCGAACCCAGGGCCTCAGGCATGCAAGGCAAGCGCTCTACCACTGAGCCACCTTCCCAGCCCCTATTTTCTATTGTTTGCATACAACTTTTTCTTTCATAGGTATGGTATCTTTTCCTGCATCTGTATGCACTTTCATCCTATCACAGAAATTGAGAAAGTGGAGCTGAAGCTAAAGTTTATAGGAGACAAGGTGCAGAGAAGATAAGGGCAAAGGAAACAGGGGTTATCAGCAATAAAAGGCTGATAAGTAGTTCATCAAAGTACTTTGCTTGAATTGTGACTTAAAGTAGAAGTTACAAAATGCAATAGAAATGCAGGAGGTGGCTTCCAACTACATATATGTGTATGTGATGACTGTATACCTGTCTCCCAGGGCCACAGTGACATTTACATTTTGTTTTACATGTTCCCTTAAAATAATTTCCAATTGTGGAAATCTGAAAGTTATATTTAAAAAATACCAACTGAAGGATTTCGAAATGAGAAATCCAGTATCCAGATCCTTGAAATTCATGTTGGACATTTGGAAATGGGTTGTGGTTGGGAGCAATGTCATGCTCAAGTCAGTTTCACATCACAAGTAATAAACTATAGTTAATTTCAATTGGCAAATTCTGTCCTAAAGATCACTAGAGACTACTTGTGTTATTCTCAACTGTGTGACAACTGTCTTATTGCTAAATTATACAAAATACATTTTCTTTGGAAACTTTTGTCAGTTTATACAACAGGACAACAAAGGTTTGGATAAACTTAGTATTTAAAATGCCATTGTTACTATTTAAATGTAATTTCTAATAGATGCTAGAATAAGAAAGCCTCCAAACAGGACTAATGACCTCTCTCTCCTACTCCTCTCCCAAGAAAGAACTTTGCTGCCAAGTGCCAGTGGCTCACGCCTGTAATTCTAGCTACTCAGGAGGCTGAGATCTGAGGATCACAGTTCAAAGCCAGCCTGGGCAGGAAAGTCCATGAGACTCTTATCTCCAATAAAGCACTAGAAAACTGGAAGTGGCGCTGTGGCTCTTGTGGTAGAGCGCTCGCCTTGAGCTGAAGAGCGTTAAGTACAACGCTCAAGCCCAGAGTTCAAGCCCCATGACCAACAAACAAAACAAAACCTTCGATAAATATTCACTATTAAAAGCTTTTCATCGCAGAGATGGTGGCTCATGCTTGTAATCCTAGTTACTCAGAAGGCTGAGATCTGAGGATGACAGTTCAGAGCCAGCCCAAGCAGGAAAGTCCATGACACTTTTGTCTTAAATTATTCATCAAAAAATAGAAGTAGAGCTGTGGCTCATCTGTTACATTCCCTTTATTCTTTATTGTTATTGAGTAATCTTCTCAAACTTATAATAGTTTATGTGTCAATTTTATGTAAGTATGCCTACTCTTACTTTCTTTTTTTTTGGGTCCGGTTGTGGGGCCTGAACTCTGGGCCTGGGCACTGTCCCTCAGCTCTTCAGCTCAAGGCTAGCGCTCTACCACAGCGCCACTTCTGGCTTTTTTCTTTCTGCTTATGTGGTGCTGAGGAATCCAACCCAGGGCCTTGAGCATGCAAGACAAGGGCTCTACCACTGAGCCACCTTCCCAGCCCGCTACTCTTATTTTCTTTTGGTTATCATTTGTTATTGACCATGAAAAAAAAATAGATAATTAGACTTCACATAAATTTAAAAATTTTGTGCATCAAAAGACCATATCAATAGTGGAAAGGCAGTCCACAGAGTTAGAGTAAATATTTACAAATCATATATCTGATTCTTCATCCCACATAAATGATGTTAGCCTAAACTGAGTTAGACTTCTCAGAGTATCTAATACAACTATTTCAGTAGTTACAGGTAAATTGAAAATGCTACCTCATTTGAATTTTCTTGTGAACTTGATATAGGAGTGACTTCATCTGAATTAACATAATTGCTGACATTTGGAAACAGTTCTTCAAAAGTTGCTTTTCGCACTGAGGACAATTCAACCTATAAAAGAATAGGTTACTCTTTTGTACAAGTTTCAAAAGCAATTATTTTTTAAGTAATTAAGCTAAAGTTAAAAATACTATATTATTGGAAGCATTTTCTTGTGAATTTGAGTTATGAACAATTTCATATGAATGAATATAATTATGGATGTTAGGAAATAATTTTCCAAAAATGTTTACCCATGTACAAATCAATGTAAAGAAAGATCCTAATGATTTTTTATCTTAAAGTTACTTCTCTTTTTTTTTGCTCCGGTCATGGGGCCTGAACTCTGGGCCTGGGCGCTGTCCCTCAGCTCTTCAGCTCAAGGCTAGCGCTCTACACTTGAGCCACAATGCCACTTCTGGCTTTTTTTTCTTTTTTCTTATGTGGTACTGAGGAATTGAACCCAGGGCCTCGAGCATGCAAGGCAAGTGCTCTACCACTGAGCCACCTTCCCAGCCCCTTAAAGTTACTTCTCAAACAGAATTTTTTGCCTTAGTATAAATCTATTTTAATTCATCCATCCATTATATTTACTGATTCTTACTAATGAAATTTGACTACCTGGCAACCAGAACAATTTCCTTCCTTTTCTGTGTGTGTGTGTGTGTGTGTGTGTGTGTGTGTGTGTGTGTGT